GCAACTCTGTGCACGTGCAAAGCAGAGGAATGAAGTGGCACCGATGCGGACTAGGTGGATGGGTGTACAAGGCAGTGCATGCAAGCCAAATGAAGCTCACCTTGCGGAAGTGTTTCCACTATGTTTGTCCACTCGAACACCTCACTCTTAAATTCATAATCCTCCTCCACATCTTCCCCTTCGTCTCCATCCCTTACTTCTTGCAACGGCTCATCGTCATCATTCTCTTCCTCATCGCCCTCGATCCATATATTTTCAAGTCCAACGACCTTCACTTTGTAGGTTGTGCTCGGATCCAAGTCTTCAATAAGAGCGATACCATCGCCCACATTTGCCAGTGCAACAACAATGCCAACAGTATCTGGCACTTGTGTTGCAATGGCTAGCAATATTGATACTTGGCGCGCTTTCATTTCGTCGACATCCCATGACACACTAATGCTGTTGGGACCAAGAGGAGTAGCGCTAATGTTTAGTATGCTGTCGTAGTCTTCTGTCACTGGACTTCCTACAACATGGACATTGCAGCGTTAACACTACACGCGCATTCCTTTTTGACTCAACTGAAAAGTTGTGGAACCCTCATTTTCCATTCACCTCGATGTCGACGACAGACAAGTGCATGCCGTGGGCAAAGTAAACGCCACTTTGTGCCCACTTTGCCGGGCCAATGAAATGGCCATGTTGGGTGATGGTAAAGGAGGCGCGTGGCACGCCTCCATATCGACTTGCAGAGCAGAAGTGTAGACGTTAATTGAATGCTTCACAAATGGCACCACTTCGCTTCTAAAAACAACAAACACTCCCTCTTCCTCCTCCTCCTCCTCCTGAACCTCCTCATCCTTCTGCATGCAATAATGGAAGGTAATGCAGTAGCTTTAGCAGCACTGCTTCGACAATCTCGAATGATGCAGTAGCAAACGACAAGGCAGCAAATGGTATGGAAGTGAGTGAATGTGTTGGTGAGTGATTGGATGCAGGAGAGTTGCATGAGAATAAGTAGAGAAGAGGTGGGAAGCAACTCACCACTCGCGAGAACAACAGCCACGAACACGATGAGGCTATGCAGAGCCACCATTTTCTCCACCCTCAACAATGTCCCGCACTCACAACGCTCGTTGCTTTTATAGTGGCAAGGCGGCGTCGGCACATGCATCCCATACGCCCACTACTGCAGCAGGCGTAGGAGTGGTGGGATGGCGAAGGCGACTGCACGCCAACTCCCAACCAAACGTCGTAGATGGTGGCACGTGGCAAAGGCAATTGGGGCGTGAAAGAGGTGAGCACACAAAGGAAGATGAGGCGGATCATTGATCACTGCAATGTCGGTACATAGGCAGGGTCGACACATGTCGGCATGTGTGCATCATTTGGTGGTTCGGTGAAGCCACATGTCCGTGCGAACCATACAACCGCACTTGTATCACCATGGCTAAACACAGTGGTGCCACATTTCCTACAATCGGCTCACACACACATATGCACCCACAAGCACAAGCACGCACGTGAGATGTGCACAAGCTCCACATTCCATCGATGCTGTTGCCCAGATAGGAGGGTATAGGATCAAAGCTTATTGACGAAACGTAATCCAGTGGTTATCAGTTAGTCATTCGTGATAATCAACTCGTGATTGCATTGCCAACCGTCACTAACGGCCACGTCAATGCTATTCTCCTCCTCCTCCTCCACCTCCTCCTCCTTATCCCCCTTCTCCGTGGCTGAAGCCAAGGCAGCCATCTGCGTCCAGCCTAGCGCTTTGGCACCGCATGCAGTCTGAAGGTTCACTTTGCCACCATGCTATTACGGTTGGCCTACGGAGAGCAGAAGACACGGTGTGTTGCGCCTTAAAGGAAGTCGCCAGCACGCAATTCGACGCAAA